AATTAAAGATATAAAGGAGGATGTTGACTCTCATTTACTAATCCTGCGTAAATATTCCCGTACGAACTGGAAAAATTATAGTCAGATCACCAGGACATTTCGTTATCACGGATGCATGATCATTACTCAATTTATTACACGTCTGTAAAAAATAACACAGGCAAGATTTGTCTCCTATAATTTCTGAATGGCGGATATTTGCACCCCTGTTTTAAAATTGTTAAAATAATTCATTGTTAGTTACCGAAAATTATCGCAGATTGTTGAAATTCCATAGCGCTAAAAGACACAAAAACACTCGCGCAAAAAGTAGCATCCATAAATAAAAGGAATATAATGTTTCCATTGTTAAATATAAATACAAAATTTACACACGACATGACCTCTGACAAATGACTGGTCGGCTCTTCTGAAGAATCTGTGAATCTTTGATGTTTACACACCTGTAGTTGTTGCCGAATCATCAAAGAAATGCCGACACTCAATTGACTTCCACCTCTTTTTTTATATATCAGAATAAAAACTGTCATTTCTTTTTGTCAAGGAATGATTACACATGTTTAATTATTGCTCAAGGAAAAAATGTTGGATGTTTATCGTGTCAATTATTGACATATTATTAATCGTAAGTGCATTTTGACATGGAGTTTAATTAGACGTATGTAAATCTGTGATTTTGATTGTGATATTTTATTTACATTTTTATGATCTTGAAGATATTTTGCAATACTTGTGTCTGCTATCAAAACAATAATGCATGAAATGACCACAGCTTCCAAAATTTTTTTTTTTCGGTCAATTTTATGACAGAATCCCCGCTGCTACCAGAAATGTTTTATTGCATAGGCTAAGTATTTAATCTGTTTCGGCAGTCATAAACAAACGAACATGTACTCCAAAGCACATTAAAATTACCACATGGTAAACTAGTGACCATATAAATGCTTTTCAAATATTCATTAACTGAACAAACATTATTTTTAATCCCGTTTCCACACCTTAATTTGATACGTTCTATTATTAGTTAATTCGACTTAATTGCCGCGCGCATGCAGTACTGCGTGACGTAAGGAAAATATCCTTTCCTGGTTGGTCGCTATTTATGTAAATACTTTAAATAGTAACGCACAGAATGCCCTCATGAATGATCTCGTTACTTTACATATTAAATGTGTGATTTTCCTCCGATTTTATTTTTGTTTTCGAGGGAATTTTTTAGGTGGACATGGTGGAATGCCCTGGCTGATTTGGCGGAAATAAAAAAAAATCTGATTTTTTTAAGCTGAAAAAAACTTTTGAGTCGGGGCATTTTCGCTGGGTCGGCCGGCAATAGCAAACAGATAATTTTTTAAGAGTGGCCTAGACGAGAGTCCGATTCCGACCCACAATCCTTCGATGATAATATGGCTTTCCCGCTAGTCCCTCATTCTCACGCTATCGTTAAACTTTGGCGATATTTGTGACTTATTGCTTACATTCATGATTGCTGACATGGATATTCATTGGTGGAAAAGTGTGTTTTGTACGTTTTAGAATACGTAACCATTACTTTTTATATAAGTAAAAAATGTTAAGTTTTTTTTTGTTGATGTACCTCCGGGAATTCAATATGGTGGTATTTTGGCTACTTTTACCCAGGATGCATCAAATCTCGCAAAGTCTCGCAACATGATAACTTGTGGGAACATAATTCCCCCGATACTGAATTTAACTGTGTGACGTCACAGTCTCTTCTCCATCTTATATTTAGCTCCATGACACTATACATGGTCTGTCACACACTGTAGCATGCTGGGATCTCTTCTTTGATTGCTTGGACAAGGCGCTTAATGTATTATGATGATAAAGATTAGTAAATGGAAATGGCTAGTAATATGGGCCTGTATGGCTAGCCAAAAGTTCTAGCCATTCGTGAGTCATGTACGACTAGCAAGGACACACTGTATTGGCTAGCCATAAGGCGCTTTTCAAAATTATATGAAAGTCGAAAATGCAATGTGGGAATTTTAACCAAGAAAAAGCAATTGTCTTCGTATGTTTACTTTTTAGAGACGGATCGCTATGTTGGCCAAAGAAAGTGTGAATATTGTTGTCATCTCCAGCTTACTTATGACAAGAAAAAAAGAGCGTTTAGTTGCAGTTGAATAACATCAATTGAAATAGTTTACAAAATTATTATAATAATCCTTTTTTGTTTCAATAAGTTTGATTTTCAACACCTTTAAAAATGAAGTAATTGTTGTTGGGCTCTGGTAATTGCATCAATTACTGACAGTAGAAGTTTGGCCATCATTAAGGAATGTTTGCATATTCTGTGAAACATATTCTAAATTTCTATTTTCATTCCCAGTGTAGGCTTTAATTAAGGCTAATTGATTGTGCTTCTATGTGCGATATTTATCTACTGTATTTAAATATACAATTATACAATTGTTTTTGCTTTTCACGTTTTTTTTCAATGCTCTATTTGTTGACTTATTTATTCCACTCTGATTATGCCGTTATGAAACAAGCTTCTTTGGCCGTTGTTATTATTATTTATTCCATGTGCTTAATTAACAAAAAATGATTTAATAATTCATCTTTCATACAAATAAAACAACAAATCATAGGCATGAAAAATAACGACTTTATTACTTTGCATGCACATACACAATGTACTTTGTATAATGCATCATGCAAATTTGACACACTTATCAAGATAACAATTCTTGCATTACCTTCATATTCATTTTTATTTTACAAAATGGTGGAGCATCTTTATTAAAGTAAACACACAAGGACAAATGCGGGTACTTGGTTAAAATTCTGTTTAAAGACACAAAATAACATATGCATATTCGAGTTTGATATAATTTTGAAAAGTGCCGTATGGCTAGACAATACAGTGTGTACGACTAGCCAGTTCCGTAATGAAATGTATTTATTATTATGATATTGTTTAATGAAAATGTGAATAATGGTATCAATTAACATTGGTTCATATTCCATCAGAAAGATTATTCAATATTCTGTCAAATGACAATGGAAAATCATGGTAAAATTGGAGGCTTAAAAATGTTTACTAAGCTTTAAGGTTTATCGAGGGTACTGTACAGTTTACATTTTTGAGTCTGCAATCTACTATATTGAGACATGACGGTAAACAGATGTCCCAACAATAAAGTGTTAAAAGTTACTGAGAATTAACAGAGGCTGAGCATCAGCAATCATTTAATCAAATTTGTTTGCTAATTAAGTGTATAACAGTGTAAAGACAGTATCACTTATTTTGTATAACCACTAAGCTTCTGTTAACGGCCAAGTAGCAAATGTTTATATAGGTCAAAGGTTACAGGCCTACAGTAGTCGGATCAAGACTCTGTGTAGACCAGTCCATGGTGTGAACATAGTAAATAAAAGAATTTACCATAACGCAAACATTTTACTTTCAGTTATTAGGTTATTAATTAAACAATTAATAAAGCCTTAAAGGAAGGTTCATCAATTTTTTTATTTTGGGGGGGGGGGGGGCTTTTGATAAAACTTTTACAAATTTTACAAACACTTTATTTCTATACAATGTCCAAAAAGAAGGCCTACAGTACACTGAGCTTTTGTTAACTTCACCATATTTCATTTTTGTGTCGCCTCTACGGAGTAGTGGCGACATATAGGGTATTAGGGATCACTTCTCCGTCGTCTGTCTGTCCGTCTGTCTGTCCATCCGTCCGTCACAAAACTTGTCCGGACTACCCCTCATAAACTACTGGTGCAATTTCATCCAAACTTTACAGGAATGATCAGTACCAAGTCTAGTTGTGCATATTGTCAGCATTTTCCGGTTCAATGATTTTTGTCAGAGTTATGGCCCTTTAATAATATTTATTTTTAAAGTTTGTCTGGACTAGTTCTCTTATACCACTTATGCAATTTCAATGAAACTTTACAGGATTGATCTGTAGCTCAAGTCCTTGCGCATATTGCACGGGTTTTCCGGTTGAATGATTTTTGGCTGAGTAATGGCCCTTTGATAAAAAGGTGTTTTTTTCTGTGTGATGCCAGATACGCAAAAGCTTGTCCGGACTACTCCTCATAAGCTACTGGTGCAATTTTATCCAAACTTTACATGAATGATCAGTACCAAGTCTAGTCTGTCTCTCTACGGAGTAGTGGCGACATATAGGGATCACTTCTCCGTCGTCTGTCTGTCTGTCTGTCTGTCTTTCCATCCGTCCGTCACAAAACTTGTCCGGACTACCCCTCATAAACTACTGGTGCAATTTCATCCAAACTTTACAGGAATGATCAGTACCAAGTCTAGTTGTGCATATTGTCAGCATTTTCCGGTTCAATGATTTTTGTCAGAGTTATGGCCCTTTAATAGTTTTTAATTTTAAAGTTTGTCTGGACTAGTTCTCTTATACCACTTATGCAATTTCAATGAAACTTTACAGGATTGATCTGTAGCTCAAGTCCTTGCGCATATTGCACGGGTTTTCCGGTTGAATGATTTTTGGTTGAGTAATGGCCCTTTGATAAAAAGGTGTTTTTTTCTGTGTGATGCCAGATACGCAAAAGCTTGTCCGGACTACTCCTCATAAGCTACTGGTGCAATTTTATCCAAACTTTACATGAATGATCAGTACCAAGTCTAGTCTGTCTGTCCGTCTGTCACAAAATTTGTCCCAACATGAAATTGGCTATTATGAGGCGACACATGTGATTACTGATCGCTCTTGTTCTTGTTTTATTAGCTCGACTTTTGTTGTTAGAAAAAAAAGTAGAGGTATTGTTACAGTCATGTCAGGGTTGCCCTTGCCGTAGTCATCTGCAAACTTGTACCTTGATCATAACTTTTTTAGTTTGTCGTGTATTGTCTTCAAATTTGGCCATAACAACCCTTGGGACAAGAGCTTTCAGTAGACCAGACTAACCTTGACTTTCATCCATAAATGACCTTGACCTTCAAGGTCAAACTGGTTGGCCAGAAAGGCTAATAAAACCTGATTCTATTCCAGATACTTTTTACATGGAGCTTGTAGCAAAGGAGATAACTGTAGATTTTCCCATGATAGACGTGACAGAACAGACAATGTGTGCAAGTATTACCTGAAAGGCTGTTGTACATTTGCTGAAAGATGCAGGTAAATGATGATATGACAAGTGTTTCAATTTATTCTTCTTTTTGTGTGACCTCAAATTTAAATGTTTTTTTAGCAATCTGTGTTCTCATATGTAAAATAAATTTGAACATGTATGCCGAGTGTTATTTTGAAGAAAGCACTTTTGGTTGACAGGGACACAATAAATCAGACTATACTATCTTTGTCATTGATAGCAATGTTTTTAAGCATGATATTGTTTTGTTATCTCAAGTATGTATGAATTTGAGGAATATGATTTGTTAACAGAGAAATTATGTAGTGTATTTCTTCTATAAAACTTTTAGAACAAAATACATGTATGTTAAGAAAACAAATTTAAATTTATAGTTTTATTTAAAAGCCCACTTACACCTTAAACACGGAGGGCGCACTGAATGCTTTACTCCAACAGTATAATTTAAAGGTGTGACAAATTTGCCTTAAACAAAAACATTAAGATGATTGACTTTCTCACTTACAGGTATGACCACGTCAAACAAAAAGTAAATCAAACAAGTGAAACAATATTATCAAAACCAAGATCCACCATCCCTCCACCTTTGAAAGATACAACAGTACCCACCAATGGTATGGTGTCATTAAAAAAAGTGCTTCATGGCTCGATAGACACACCAAAATCACCTAAACCCCCTGAAGACTGGGTAAATGCTACAGAATTTGTACCCGGACAACCGTATGTTTGCTCAAAAAGTAAGTACACATTGTAAACTGTATGCTTCTTTTCTTCTTGGGACTCATAATTGAAAATTCATCTACTTTTTCCAAAGGCCTTAAGCTGTTACTGATTGTATGGCCTGAACCACTTTCCTAGAAACATTTATGTAATTAGGTGAAACATTTATGTAATTAGGTGAAACATTTATGTAATTAGGTGAAACATTTATGTAATTAGTTTTGTTAAATGTAACTGATTCACATTTAAATTCAGTTAGCATTTGAAAATATTTACACAATGACATTAGATACAAAAACCAATGGTATATAGAAAATATCAAATATATAGAGTACCAAAATTAGCAACAACAAAAAAATTAAATGAGAAAAAAACTGAAGTTGAATTGAGGTAACACAGAGCTAGAGATATTGATAATGACAGTATATCTGAAGCTGAAGTCTTCTTCCTCCAATGCATGTTATTAATTAGGAAAGTTGTGCATAAAATTTATGGAATAAAAGGAGTGGCTCAGAATGCAGAAACACCTATTTCAACTTGTGTTGTAAGCAAAATTTGGTGACAAAAGTATGAAGTTTAAATTTTAACAATAACCATCTTTCAAAACCTTTCCTTTTGTTTACAGTTCCATCATCTTATGCCAGTGCTGCGTCAGACAGTGCTAGTAATGAAGCCTTGACTATAGATGAGGCTGAGCAAATTCCTAGTCAATTACTTTGTCCGTTTTCTGCCAATAAGGAGTGTCGATACGGTGAAGATTGTCAATATATACATGGCAATATCTGTGAGTTGTGTGGTCTTGCTGTTTTGTTGCCAGGAGACAGTAAGCAAAATGAGGAACACAGAAAGGTAATTCTGATTTAGAGGTTGAATAGCTTTTAGCTCGACTATACGAAGTATATGGAGAGCTGTCCTACTCGCCCCGGCGTCGGCGTCCAAATTTTAGATTAAAGTTTTGGTGCAGTAAAATATTTTTCACTATAACTTTGTCATTTCTTAAGGTATCAACTTCAAATATATGTTCCTTATCATCAACCACATCATATGTGACAAGGGTTATAACTCTAGCACCAATATTTTCAGATTTATCTCCCCTTGAAATTTTCCTTAAAAAATACTATTTTTAACTGTTACTTCTTTATTTCTTCAGGGATCAACCTCATACTTCAAATATATGTACCTTATCATCATCCCTATCTTATGTGACAAGGCTCATAACTCTAGCACCAATATTTTCAGATTTATCTCCCTTTGAACTTAGAATTTTCCATAAAAAATATTTTTTTTACTGTTACTTATTTATTTCTAAAGGGATCAGCTTCATTCTTCAAATATATTTTACGTTATCATCATCCACATCTTATGTGACAAGGTTCATAAACTTAGCACCAATATTTGCAAGAATTATCTCCCATAAACTTAGATTTTTTTTACCTAGAAAAACGTTATTTTTATTATAACATTTTTATTTTAAAGGTATCTACCTCAAACTTCAAATACTTAATTCCTTATCATCAATTACATTTTATGTGACAATGTTCATAACTCTTGAAGCAATATTTACAGATTTATCTCTCTTTGAACTTAGGATTTTCTTTAAGAAATATAATAACTTCTTTACTTTTTAAGGTATCTACTTCAAACTTCAAATATTACCGATTATTTCTACATAGAAATAACTCGAGTTTATTTTGGTAAGAATAATTGGGTTTTTCTTCGTGCTATTTTTAGCACATAATCGGACTGGTTCTGTTAATACTACCGGTGTCGAGTATAAATACCAGTCACCGGATGTACAATTCCTTTCCGCTTTTACAACCGAAAGAAACGCAACGTATTTTTCAACAACGCAACAATCGAAGAAATCGACAATGCCGGGTCGTGGAGAGTGTGTTAAGAGAAGGTCTACGACGGTGCCTAAGGATCAAGGAAGACAGCGGGTTTGGTTTGGAGGAAGATGAGAGCGACAGAAACACAGGTAGAGTTGATTTTGAGGAGATAATAAGAGCATCTCAAATCATTACCTCCCGCTAGTCAAGATAAAGGGTGTGGCGTGGTTAATCCCCACGATGGTTCTTCGTCTCAGTGTCAAGCAGGTGGTAAATGAATTCCCCAGATGGTTCTGCTTACGTCCGAGTTTTAGATTCGAACTTTTGATGAGGTGTAATAACGACGATATTTCGGCGCATGTGCCAATGTCGGTAAAGGAGCAAATTTGCAGAGGGGAATTTATAAACCTATCACTGCTACTTAAGGGGGTATTGAAAGCCCTACCGATTTTGGTGCATCTACTTTGCATTTGTCGGCTGATGGCCGAATGAAAACAAGCCTAAAGAAAAGGAGGTAATTTCCTCTATTGACAAATGGACGGATGCATTTATTATTTATTTATCTATTTATTTGCGCATTCATGTAAGTGAAACAGCCGAACTGCTGCAATATATGTTTAACATACGTGAAGCAGCATCTAAACAGGGTGGTTTCTGCCTGGAAGTCGTATGACGAGCAGTTCAGGCTCCGACAGGCAAACAAACAAAACCAGTTGGGGTCATATTAACCAAGATTTATGGTGGCGTTGTAACCTTGGTAGGCAAAATGCCAATAATAGTATTAGTGCCCCACTTCAATGTTTAGACTACAATAAAGGGGTTTGCTTTCGTAGAACATGTAAGTATAGCACACTCTTGCCGAACATGTGGCTGTAACAGGCATGGGGCTATTTATTGTAATGCTAATAAAAGCAATTCTACAAATACAAGCCAGGTGACTGACTCTTCTTCAAGAGTCAACTTACAAAATCCTTTTCGAGGCCAACAACAACCATTTGTTAGACAGCCAAAAGCTGGTTATTATAAAAAACCAACCAGAAATTAACTCTAGCAATTTTGATATCACAAATATTGCCGAGTCACCTATAAATTTTCATGCTTTGTGTAAAGAGTTGTCAGAATATAATTCGGAGGATGCTAACATATTATTTAAGGGCTTTAAACAAGGTTTTAAATTGCAATATAGTGGTCCTCGTGTTACAAGGATTCAAAAAAACCTGAGATCTATTTATGAAAAACCAGCTATTGTGCAACAGAAAATTGAAAAAGAAAATTAAGTTGGGCAGGGTAGCTGGCCCCTTTATGGAGAAACCATTACCAAATTTACAGGTTTCTCCAATTGGTTTAGTTCCAAAAAAATTACCAGGTGAATATAGGCTTATACATCACCTGTCTTATCCGGAATCTAATTCTATCAATGATTTTTATTGATCCTAACATATGTTCTGTACAATACACTAATTTTGATGAAGCAGTGTACATGCTTCAAGATTTAGGTCAAGGTTGTAAATTATTTAAAGTAGATATATAAAAGTGCTTTCAGGTTATTACCAGTTTGCATTGAGGACATTGAATTATTGGGTTTCAAAATAAAAGGCCAGTATTATGTAGATAAATGTTTACCCTTTGGTTGTTCAATCAGCTGTAGCTTGTTTGAAAAATTCTCAACATTTTTAGAATTAACAGTTAAAAAACGATTAGGGTCGGCAAAATTAATTCACTATCTGGATGATTTCTTAGGTGGGGATACAACTAATGAATTGTGCCTGTCAGCATTGAAAGAATTTGTTAATTTTGCTAAATATTTGGGTGTCCCTTTGGCGAAGAAAAAACAGAGGGTCCCTGTGAGGTTCTCACTTTTCTGGGCTTAGAAATTGACTCTGTGCTAATGGAGGTGCGTATACCTCACGATAAGCTAAACGAGGTAGTGGAAAAAATTGAAACAATGTTGTATCAAAAAACAAAAAACCACTTTAAGGGATATGCAATCCTTGATTGGCTCCTTAAATTTTTTGTTGCCGCGCAATCGTAGCAGGGCGACCTTTTTGCAGGAGGCTTATAGATGCAATATGTGGGTTAACTAAGCCACATCACCATTTGCGAATAACCAAAAGTATTAAAGCAGACTTGTCTATGTGGTTGAAGTTTTCAAGGATTTTAACGGGATATCAGTTTTTCATGATCGGTTTTGGTTGACAACTGAAGATTTAAATCTATATACTGATAGTGCTGGTGGTTTACACCTGGGTTTTGGCATTTATTTTCAAGGTCACTGGTCATATGGCGCTTGGCCGGAGTCTTGGCACAAGACCGGTATAACAAAGGATATAACTGCTATTGAACTTTTCCCAATTTTAGTTTCTATGCATATTTGGGATAAGCAATTTGAGAATAAGAAAATACTATTTAATTGCGATAACATGGCAGTGGTTCACATAATCAATAAAATGACTTCAAAGTCCGAGAATGTTATGTGTATTCTAAGGTTACTTACACTGAAATGTTTGCATAATAATACTATTGTTAAAGCTGCACATGTCCAAGGTTCAAAAAATGAAATTTGTGATTCCCTTTCTCGATTTCAGTTCAACAGATTCAGAGAATTGGCGCCAGAGGCAGATCTCGAACCTTGTCTAGTGCCATCCCATCTATGGCATGTCTGCAATCTAGATCAAGGCAGTTATTAAATGCTAGCCTATCAGCAAATACGTCCGCAACATATAGAAACTGCCTTATCGGCTTTTGATAAATTTAGGGCTATTTATAAGCTTACAAATCAATGATGATTAGGGAAACTGAAGTAGTGTTATTTATCACTTATTGCTTTGAAAAAGGTTTATCCCCTAACTCAATAGCAACATACGTGGCAGGGCTAAGTCACTTTAATAAATTGAAAGGTTTTTTCAGATTTTGGTGAAAGTTTTATTGTTAAAAGCTGCTAGAAGGTTGTAGGAGAATCTCGAACGCGCAAAGATTTGAGGCCCCCATTACTCTAGATATGTTAAATGTTATTGTATCCAAATTGGCATTAGTTTGTTTCAAATTCCTACGAAACTTGTCTCTTTAAGGCTTTGTTTCTGCTTGCATTTTTTGGTATGTTCAGGGCAAGTGAACTGGTGGTTACTAATTTGTTGGAACAAAACAGACCAATTCAATTTAACGATGTATCATTTCCAAGCAATAGGAAGGTGAAGGTTATCTTAAGAATAACAAAAACAAATCATTCTGGCATTCCAACTACCTTAATTATTCCTTGCGAGGAAGATTGTAATTTTTGTCCAGTATGTGCATTGAAATCATTTTTGAACATGAGACCTGCGTGCACTGGACCCTTGTTTATACATGTCAATTGTGTACCAGTTAAGAGATGCCAGTTTTCGGGAGTATTACTCAAATGTTTGCGTTTAACTAATTTTTCGCATGAAAGGGTATTATCTCATAGTTTCCGTATTGGCAGGGCGACACAGCAAGCAACATCAGGTCTATCATCCGAGGCTATAATGAAATTAGGACGTTGGCGTTCCTCAGCTTACAAGGGCTACATTAGGTATTAGACTTGTTGAAAGAACCAAACCTGGTTTATATTTTCAAATTGTTAGTAATTCAGTTTTACTTGATTATGTAGGCATTTCATATATTAGAACAAGTAACTACATGTACTGCAAAAGTTTAAAATTTATTTCAATATATGAAACATTTAACTATTTTACTGCAGATATATGGTTAGTTGGTGATTCTATTATCCATTGGGCTGGCGTAAGGGCAGGCAATACGGGAAAACCTAATCTAAGAACAGGTAAATTGTTAGGATGGTACGGAACCAGGGGTATGTCTTGGGAAAGTTTCTTACATAGCTTACAATTAAAAATTGCTTTTCAAAGTCCACCGTCAATATTTCTTGTTCATTTGGGTGGCAATGATGTAACTGGTCTAACTATGACACGTATCTTTAATTTGATATCCTCGGGGCTTAAGTATGTAGCCAGTACGTTCCCTTCATGTGATGTAATTTGGTGCGACATCCTTCCTAGGTTAAATTGGGGAACTTCTCAGGATAAGAAAATAGCCGATAAGAAACGTCGTCGGATAAATCGCCATGGTAGGCAAGTAGTGCGTTCTCTAACAAAAGGCTATATCTTGTCCATTGACATTGACGGTTCTACTCCGGGTTTTTTCCGCAAAGATGGTGTTCATTTATCTGACGTTGGATTAGAGTTTTTCCTAGATTCTTTAAAGGATAGTTTATCTTCTCGTCTTTGAATTTTGGGGAATAAATTTTTGTTAAAATTTATTGTGGCGGAAAATTCTGGCAGCCGAGAACCAGTCATGTTTATGTATAAATTTTTCAAAAACCGTTTCTCTCGATGGCCTCTATGGTACATCCTTCGGGAAAATCGGTTCGTAAACTATTTACGCTTAAGTCTGTAGTCTGGTATATATTTCATCTATTAGATGGTCTTGTTTCGACAGAATATCCTTCTATAAGCTGGAATTACTAGATTACATTAATTTCAAAATTGGAATTTTTTATATGAGTCCTGGGTTTTGCTCAAAGCTTGCGCTATGCTCGGTATTTCCCAGGTGTCTCTTTGGCATTTTTAAGTAACTGAGTATTTGCTTGAAAGTTGCTCCCATTTATTACCGCATTTACGCATTTGGCACCCTCGCATATTCAATTATGCAGTCTTGGCACGCATATGCCAGAAGTTATCGCATTTACGCATCTTGGCACCCTTGCATAGGGTAATTACGCAATCTTGGCACGCATATGCCGGAAGCAGGATATGCCGGAAGCAGGCACATCTGTCCTTAAATGCTCAGTAACTTTCGCATGTAAAATTTCGCATTTAACTGGTTTATTCGGTTGCTGGAATTTTCTTTGTTATGCTAGGGACATTTAGTTGTCATATCCTAGCATGACATATTTAGATGCGGCCAAACATTCCAATACATTTTATTTCTAGTCATAAAATTGTTTCTAGTCTCGACTTTGTTCCTTATAATGTTATTTTATGTTTATTATTATTATTGATTACATTAAATAAGTGGTACATGCTATGCTGGCATCAAGCTCTGAAATAAGCTTAAATAATTAAATTGATATGTAAAAGTTATGAATTGTTTATTGATTATTCCAATCCATAAATAATACCGATTATTTCTACATAGAAATAAACTCGAGTTTATTTTATGGTAAGAATAATTGGGTTTTTCTTCGTGCTATTTTTAGCACATAATCGGACTGGTTCTGTTAATACTACTGTCGAGTATAAATACCAGTCACCGGATGTACAATTCCTTTCCGCTTTTAAAACCGAAAGAAACGCAACGTATTCCCACCCGCCACACCCATTTATCATTCAAACTACTGTGTATTAATTGTCTTATTATGGCATAATTTCCAATAAATAATAGGAAATGTTTTTCATATATGTACATTACTGTGTTTATTGTTATAAATGACATGTTGTTTCCAATGGATACTGCTGCTGGTTGTGCTTATATTTCAGTTGTACATGAGGAATTTAGCGATTATTGCTGGCATACCTGTACCACAAGTCATGGTAGCTCCGAAGAAACACACTGACGGTGCCTAAGTTCCAACATCCCGTTTAAGCGGAAGGCAGTTTGGGAAAATATCGAAAAGATGTTCAAAACAAAACTTTAACAGTGTTTCGTTTATAACCAACTGGTGTTATGTTGACATTTATAAATATGTGAAAGGATAACATTTTAACAGTGTTTCGTTTATAACCAACTGGTGTTATGTTGACATTTATAAATCTGTGAAAGGATAACATTTTCACTTGTATGAAATTGTGCTACAATGTTCATGTAAATTTTTTCTTGTCGCATCTTGACGGAAAATTCTGGCAGCCGAGAACCAGTCATGTTTATGTATAAATTTTTCAAAACCGTTTCTCTCGATGGCCTCTATGGTACATCCTTCGGGAAAATCGGTTCTTAAACTATTTACGCTTAAGTCTGTAGTCTGGTATATATTTCATCTATTAGATGGTCTTGTTTCGACAGAATATCCTTCTATAAGCTGGAATTACTAGATTACATTAATTTCAAAATTGGAATTTTTTATATGAGTCCTGGGTTTTGCTCAAAGCTTGCGCTATGCTCGGTATTTCCCAGGTGTCTCTTTGGCATTTTTAAGTAACTGAGTATTTGCTTGAAAGTTGCTCCCATTTATTACCGCATTTACGCATTTGGCACCCTCGCATATTCAATTATGCAGTCTTGGCACGCATATGCCAGAAGTTATCGCATTTACGCATCTTGGCACCCTTGCATAGGGTAATTACGCAATCTTGGCACGCATATGCCGGAAGCAAGATATGCCGGAAGCAGGCACATCTGTCCTTAAATGCTCAGTAACTTTCGCATGTAAAATTTCGCATTTAACTGGTTTATTCGGTTGCTGGAATTTTCTTTGTTATGCTAGGGACATTTAGTTGTCATATCCTAGCATGACATATTTAGATGCGGCCAAACATTCCAATACATTTTATTTCTAGTCATAAAATTGTTTCTAGTCTCGACTTTGTTCCTTATAATGTTATTTTATGTTTATTATTATTATTGATTACATTAAATAAGTGGTACATGCTATGCTGGCATCAAGCTCTGAAATAAGCTTAAATAATTAAATTGATATGTAAAGTTATGAATTGTTTATTGATTATTCCAATCCATAAATAAATATTTCTTTTCATTACACAGATGTTGTTTGACAAGGTCCATAACTCTAGCATGACTATTTCAAGAATTATTCCCCTTGATCTTGGAATTTATGTTAACAAATATTATTTTTTTACTATAACTTGATACATAATTATACATAATTGATTTTTCTTTCATAGTTTTGTCCTCCTTACTGCGTCCAGTATTTTATTAGTCGAGCTTCGCTGTCTCCTGTGACAGCTCTTGTTAAGGGTAATTGTTTGGTTGCCTATTTTACTTGCTATGATTATGTGGAAAAAAAATTTAACTTAAATTTTTGTTTATGTAAAATTTTATTTATTTCAATATCTCACTGAAAGTGGAATTTGAAAAAAGTGTTGCATAGTGTCCGTTACTATAGGAAGAAAGTTATTTTTTTATTTTATAGTTTTAAATTTTAATAAATTACATTGATATGTACATGAAAAATCTCATAATATCTTTAAGAATTAAGAATATTGTTCTCATTACAATAGGAGTGTATGGAGCGACATGAAAGAGATATGGAGTTATCATTTGCTGTAGCTCGTAGTAAGGATAAACAGTGCGGTATATGTATGGACACAGTCCTCGAAAAGGAACCGAAGGCGGAACGACGATTTGGGATTATGTCTGACTGTATACATTGTTTTTGCTTAGCATGTATACGTAAATGGCGTGCCACTAAACAGTTGGATAGTAAAACAATTAGGTATGTTTAGTTTCAACATATTAGTATTAATATTACTAATATAGAAAGTGTATGTTATTATAATTTTATTTGGGCTCAATACAACACTCCCTCAGTAATTGATCTTTGAAAAAAAATATCTTTAACAGAGATATCATTTTAAGCCACCTCCTTGTTTTCAAGCAAAAGTAAAATGTGTTATTTTCATAACATTACAGATCTTGTCCGGAGTGCAGAACACAGTCAGATTTCGTCACACCAAGCTCTTATTGGGTAGAAAACAAAGATGAGAAAATCAAACTTATTGAAGGATACAAGCAGGCTCTAAGGTTTGTTTACTTTAAAGGTGCAAGTTTCAAACATTGGTTATTAAACAAACAGGTAAAGACAGGACCTAGAGATTGGACTGATTCTGTTAAAGTGGTAAAGGTTTGCTATGTGGATATCACAAAAATATTAGTTACCAGATATATAATAGAGACACTGATAATTATTCCTTCATATCAACAAATCATTGTTTGATATCACCCTTGTCAAACAAATACTGGGTATTCAAACAATACGCTGTCCACTTTGGGTACAACTTTAGATAATTACTAAATCAGTAAACATATATGTAAAAACCAATCTCTTTTAATTCCATGATTATTGAGCAAACGGGTAGGAAAGATTTCAGTTTTCACAGGAAATTGGCAGCAATATATTTATATTCTACCAGTAAGAATGTATTGCAGGGATAACAGCAATTAATTTATTGGGGGAAAAAAGGATTCGGGATTCCCTAACATTTTTGCAGACAAACTGTCCTTAAATTAAAGAAATTGTGATTTTGCAAATTTTAATAAATAAATCTTTTCATATTATATTTTCTTTCATTTGAGATTAATTTAGGAATGCGGAATTATTTTCAATTTTTTTTTTTTATAATAGTTTTGTTTTTAATCAGAAGGTCATACTGAAAATAATTATTAGAAAGAGCATTGAAACACAAAGCTATCTGATTTTTGTTTTAGGGGGTGTAAGGCCCCCCTCTTGCACTCTAGTTAATGCACTGTGCATTTATGGGTCTACAATTTATCTTGGACACATTTTCAATAGAAAGGTTTCAAGCCATGATACAAGTATACATGTTCTATTTTTTTTGCATAAACTTTGGATGTAACCTTCCCTAAATAAAATTTTTAGTATTATTGTAATATAATAATTAGGCGATTGGTAGCAAGAAAAATTATTGTTTTCCTTTCAGTAGTTGTTTAATATTCTGAAAATACCATGATTGCACATATATATCAATCCCAAAACTTGTTCTGTAACAGTGTTAACTTAAATTATGTAGGGACAGTATTAATTTTTGCATACAAAGCACTCAATATAATTACACTTCATTTATCACTGTATTTTGTGATGGATAAAACATGTTCTTTTCTTCACTTGATTTAAAAGCAATTTCAATGTAATACATTGTACTGGTAACATTTATTTTTATTGAACAACAAAAAAAGGTTGCATACATATCAATTGTTTAATTTCAGTCAAAAGCCTTGCAAATACTTTGATGAGGGTCGTGGTGACTGTCCATTTAATGACAGTTGTTTCTACCTGCATATGCTGCCAGATGGAACTAAAGCTCCACCTACTGGCAGAGGGCACAGGCGTCGTAGACGTCACAATGCAAATGGTGAACTTGATTTTGAAGACAACATATCTTTATGGGATTTCTTCCAGGAGCGGCAGGAACGTTTAAGCAGCGTGTTGTTAGAGTTATTAGAGGATGATCTAGCGGCTTTGCTTATAAGTTTAAATTTTTCAACTGACTCGGACGACGACAGTGATGACAATTACTGGTTCTGATATTCGATTTAATTTGGTGCTTTCAAAATCACTTTTTTTTCTATCATATAGATCTATTTGGTCTTTCCCTCTTGAATTGGCCCTAAGGTGAAATTTTCTTATACATTTTATAAACAAATTATTGTCCTTAACAAAAGTGCAGTGATTTTTAAAATAAATCTTTTTGCTACTTTTTTTTTCTGTTCTTTTGGATTGGTTCACTATATTCTTTGTTGTTTATAAATTATGTTAAAAACTTGTGTATTCAGAAGATGGTTTACCTTATGTAAACTAACTTAAAATTCATGGCTTTTAACATAAGATTTTAAAAAAAAACTACAATATAAATTGTGAAATCAATGGTATAAAGTGTAAAAAACGTTTGGCATACTGTAAAATCATTATTATTCGTGGGGCACAAATTTTCGTGGTTTTCGTGGGTAGGTCAATCCACGAATTCAAGATCCAACGAAATTTTATCCCAGCAAATACTTCTTACCCTGTCTCTGTTCTATATATTACAAACATGCGTCGGCTCTTTTCAAACCGATTTTCGTGAATTGGACGTATATACATACATCTTATCAGGTTAGTGACAGATTAAATCCGTTTGCAATATTTAAGAAACTTGAAAGAAAACTCGATTATATGTTCTTAATTTACTGTCACAAATGTCGGTCGTATATACACACTTCATCGTTGTAGTCTACTTGATTGTGTAAACAAGAAAACTTGACATAATCGAGTAAATATAGGAACCCAGGCAATGCAACAATTATCGCTTATAAAAATTGTCAGTTTGCTCTTATTTATTAAAAAAAGTACACAAAACTATAAAAAAAAAATACGATCGCTAAAACAAATGAATTGTACATTCTTTTATCGTTTTAAATGATCCAGTTTAAATTAATTTTTATCTGTATTTGTGCAAATACTATTCCATAAACATCAAAGACGCCACCGACTTTTACTAGATCCACACATACTCGTGTTATTTACTCAGATTAATTTATATGCATGTAAATTTACACAGTCGCTGTGACGTTGCGTGTAGTTACTGTTAATGTGGTAAGACCAATTCAGGGTGTAAACTTTTTTAACTGGCTGGTTAAAACGTGTCAGGTGTCGTATAATTATGCAATGTTTACATCGGCGAATTACAGGGGTTAATTGCAACCAATTATCGGCAGTGCTAAATTAGAGTTATGCCCAGAGGCAAGGATTAAATTTATTGACAAGCGCTGTGTGACACGTAAAGATATGTACATGTTGTAAGTAAAAATGTTCGGCGATTAAGTTTAAGATTACTTTGCATTAGGTTACTGATTTTTTTACAAGAAACTGAAAATCCACGAATTTAAGAACCCACGAAAATGCCTGTTTTGATAAAACCACGAAATTTCATGCCCACGAATATAAGTGAATTCGCAGTATTGCGAATTTTTCAAAATTTCAAGAAGTTGAAAATCTACCTTACATATGACTTAAGTGTTTTAACATGTGTATAATCCTATAACCTGTCACTTAAGGAAAAAGTGAAAACTGTTCAATTTTATTAACAGTTTGATTTTTTGTCTGCTTTAGGAGAGAGAAAAAGAAAAATTGGAAAAAAAAAAAGAGAGGCTAATTTCGATTTGGAATGGGGCCTCATTTCGGCCCTAGGTGATAGGGTAAAAATGCTGTAGAAAACGTAAGTGAATTTTATGCAGCTGGTTTTGTCTTTCAGTTTACTGATCAGTAGGTTACTAATATACTATCGTAAAATGATTATTAGCAAGTATCTCAATCAGGACTTTTTCCCAAGAAAACAATTACATATGATACATTAGTTACCTTGGTACAGTTACCCCTATATACTATTTCATCAGACTTACATGTTGGAACCAGTTGTATTCGCTTCTTCTTTAGTAAGGGCAGTTAGATTTCTTAGTAATTGTTAATGGAAGGAAATTATATAAGTAAATATTTAAGTTAAGTAAAAAGAAAATTACAGGTCAAGTAAATTATTAGTTAAATATTAACAAATTCGAAAGATGAAAGAAAAAGGACTTCATGTTTGAAAATAATTATCACTAAATATTACACCGCATTAAAAGACTTTTCTTTCTTGTAAATTGGCAACTGTTGTGAATGAATTTCTTCCGTTTTGAAAGTTTTATGAATTGATTCAGTAACCTTTTTTCATAACTATTTTTCCTTTGATTTTACAAAAATGGTTATGCATTTATATATTCACTGCGTATCTGATACTTGTGATTTTTCGGGGGGAAAAATAAATTTTGTTTATATTAACTGCGTTATTTACTTACATACTGGTATATATACATGATTGTGTGAAGTAAAGCTGCTGTGATTATTATAGTAGATTAAAATGTAAGGCTTGTTTATAATTTAATGTTATTATGTAAATAAACAGTTAAAGCATTCAAATAGCTTCTTGTACTTCCCTTTGGTGTAGTCCAATAAATTGTACTCCCAAGTGAAGATACTGACCACAAGATTCAGACCCAAAACAAAGAATTTGAGAAACTGGAGAAGGCAGATTATTTTTACTTGCCTGGTTGTATAATGTAATGGATCAACAGTTACATCCTTCACATTGAGAAAACAACAATTGGAGATACAAAAAGTATATAAAACATATTAGGTAGTGTAATCCTCAACATAAGGAACTATATTTTAAGGATCAAATTTTAAAGCGTAAATATTCTCCATTGTTTATCCTCATGGAATTACTATTTGATATTAACTTTATAAAAATTGTTTTAAACATTTGATTTACCCACTTTAATGTTCTTCAATATATTGCACATAATGCTTGAATCTTTAACTTGATGTATCAACTCGTCGTTAGCTTGACTAGACGCAGAATAATCGAGCTAATGCAGTCACCCATTTGGCGGCGTCCCTGTGGTTAAGTTTCTGGGTGTAAGCAAGTATCTCCATAACTACTGAAGGGAATGAATTGAAACTTCACACAACACATGTTCTCTGTGATTATCTAACATGATTGGCATAAGTCCCATAACTCTAATTTGCTTTTTTGCATAATTATGCCCCTTTTTCGACTTAGAAATCCTTGGTTAAGTTTCTGCGTGTAAGCTGGTATCTCCACAACTACTTGAGGGAATGAATTGAAACTTCACACACTTGTTCTCTGTGATTATCTTACATGATTGGCACAAGTCCCATAATTCTTGATATGTTTTTTCACAATTATGCCCCTTTTTCGGCCTAGAAATTCTTGTCTAAGGTTTTGCTTGTAAGCTGGTATCCCCATAACTACTGAAGGGTTTGTACCTTTTTTGGGACAATTTTATGCATTTGAAATAATAATAAAGCAGTGATTTACTCGATAAAATAAAAGGCCTTTGTACCTTTTCTGACAAATTTATGTATTCATATAGGTAAGCATTATTATACATGTACTCGATTAAAACACCCTTGTGACAACTTTTTCGAATAGTTCAGCGTTACTGTCCTCCCAACAGTTCTCGTTTTAAATCTTGCACTATTCAGAATTAAGGTCAAGTATTCTTTTGGTTTGCGATGAAGTCTTGTAAGCATTAAGACATTACTCATATATTAGAACTACAACCCTGCCTATTAAAATCTTTATTAATGTGTTTATCTGGATTTTATACTGTTTTCAATACATTGCATATATTTTTTGAGCAACCTAACCAGCTTTCGTGGATAATTAACTTGTAATTAACAATTTCTCTGCAAAAGACAGACTATTCATACAACATGATTACTAAGTATGATTACTAAGTCTACCTAACAAACTGTGCAGAGTCAGGCATAGTCTTTAGAAAATTTTGATTGGGTTTTAAGAAATTCAAGTCATTCACTAGAGGATATTGCACGTCACAAGATTTACTTGTGAAGGTTATTGATTGACATTTTAATTGGATGTCAAAACTGTGTTATGTTGGGGTAAGTGAACAGGACAGGAAAAATCTGATTATGACTTACCTAAAGCATTTCTTTACTTTACCATATGTTATAAAGTAAATTCTGGAAAAAATTCTGACACTTGTCTGTACAGGCTGTGTGACAACATGGGTAATACCGACAATTGATTTTGAAGCCCCAAGTAGAAAGCTCACAAACTTTACAAGGGTGACACGGTCACAAAATATGCCAGTCACAAAAGCTATAGGTGGAGATGCGTTTGGCATGCATGAAGGACAAACAAAACCTGGGTATTTCATCTTTAGTTACTTTGACCTTGCATATATTGACCTAAATTATGTCACAGCCGTAGTCATGATAATGACTACATGTACTTCAATAAATGACTAAATGGTCCCTATACACATCTTCATATTTTTTTCCTGAACTTTGACCTCTATGTGTGACCTTGACCCAGAATTTAGCATGTGACAGCCAATTCAAAGTGTGACCTTTGACCTGGTTCATGTGCATGACACAGCCTCCCCCTTAGTGGTGAACATTTCTAAGAAGTTTCATTAAAATCCCTCCATGCCAGTAGGATATATGCTCTGGATAAAATTTGACATCGCCTGCATGCCAGAGATTTCCCATAATACATCAATGGGCATATAAAAAAGGGAAAACTTGATACTGAAATCAACAAAAAGTGCTGGAGGCATTTTGGCATTTTTGTTTCGCATACATAAGTTTAAAAAAAAAATTAAAATCTAAACACACTTCTTTAGCAGTATAAAGTAAATGTCACTTTGTTACTGAAAATATTACTGGTTTATATAGAAATAAATCTAGATATACATCACATTTTATTACATAAAAATTCTAATTTTTGTACAATTTTCATATATAAAACTTTTAAAAATTGCCAATCAGAAATGTAAATATTGCAACATTGTTGAAACTTAAAAATTAGTATTTCTATTAGTGTATGAAAGTAAACCTTGTAGAAATTCAGTCAAGAGGCATATTAGGCCAGCAAGCTATTAATTTCTCTTGAGTGTTGTACATAATATATATATAATTATATATTTCAATCTGTAATTTATTTCATCCTAACAGGTATAAGAAAAACTTCAGCTCATTTCTACACGAGAGCAAATTGTACCATCTATTATAGATTGCTGCCTCTATGCACAACTGGCACATTATCACTTTCATCAAGTCTTGGAACTATTTTCCATTCTTCACCTCTAGACTTAACAAATCCTGTTATCTGCATCATTTCCTTTCACATCAACCTAACTTTTGTTGTTTAATTTCAATCACTACACTGTATGTTCAGCCATTAAAGGAAGCTTTTCCTTGCAAGCTTCCAATAAATTTCTGTTCATTTCCACGTAAACACAACTCTTCTGACTCAAGTTTAGGTCCATTCCTCTCCTGTGTTAGAAATTCAAGATAAATGTTAAAATTTTCTAAAAAAAATAAATTGTTATTCATTGCAATAAAATCTATTATTATTGCCATTAGAAGAATTAAAATGTTTGGTGTTTACAGATCAAGTCTTTTTTTGCCTAATAAATTCCTTAAAAATAAAGGAATATAGGAGTTTCTAAATTATCACATAACAGTAAAGTTATCTTTAAATGTGCATGTATTGACAAATATGCTAGATTGATCAAAATTTATCTTATAATTCATGTACAGCTAAATATAGTACAACAATACAAATAATAATTATTATACAGTTTATACCTTTGAGATAAATGAAAGTTAGATCATTAAAATGTAACCAATTGTTCATCATTATGTAAACTTCACAAAGGATTAGGAATTTTTGCTTTTGTTAAGGAAATAAATATTTTGAATGGCTCACATGCCTTACCCTAAGTAAAAGAAAGATATGAGCTGGCCATGACAAAACCAACATAACACATTTGCAACCAGCATGGATCCAGATTAGCCTGCACATCTGATCAGGATCCATGCTGCCCACTATCAGTTTCTCTTCTTGTTGTTATAGGGTTTGTAAGCAAACAGCATGGATCCTGATCTGAGTCCATGCTGCTCGCAAACACATTATGTTGGCGTCATGGCGCGGCTCAATTCTGTATGAAGCCATCAATGTACAGATGACATTACATTTGTTGTCTACTTACCTTTAACATAGATACTCTCTCCCAGTTGGAAGAACCACAATCCCTGCAAAAAATATATGTACATTTAAAATGGATAACAATTTAGATGAATTTGAAAATTTAAATTTTGAAAATGTCAGGAAATTTATATCTAGTACTTATAATCATGAACAATAATCTTTTCATAGTGTTTTTAATGTTTATGTTAAATTAATATTTTCAGTCTCAATTTTATTTTCAATAAAGCAAATTAAAAAATATAGATCAATCTATGACAAAATGTTATTCTTTTATGGACATTTCTTTTGCAACCAGTCAATAGTATTGAACCCAGTGCCCTCCACTCCCTGGTAATAGAACGAATATTGACTTTTGAAATTATCAATCCCCATCTAAGGAAAGCCATGACCCCCCTCTCAAACTCCTTGGTTAGAGAGGAAATTTTGTATTATCTATCCCCCACATTCTTGCAAGGTGCTTGGGACAGTGACATGATAAAATGAGCCGTGTCATGACAAAACCAACATAATGGGTTTGCGACCAGCATGGATCCAGACCAGCTTGCGCATCCGCGCAGTCTGATCAGGATCCATGCTGTTCGCTTTCAAACCCTATTACAAGTAGTGAAACTGATAGCGAACAGCATGGATCCTGATCAGACTGCACGGATGCGCAGGCTGGTCTGGATCCATGCTGGTCGCAAACCCATTATGTTGGTTTTGTCATGAAGCGGCTCAAATATCAATTAAATGACAACTTGTAGTCCTAAACAGACTACAGAATTAACAATGACTTACTTGCAAGGTTTTGTTGGCAGTCTATCAATGCTTACAGTACGCCTCTTGCAATGTTTACATTTAAAGAATCTTTTCACTCCTTTCACTTGTTTTGTTGGATGATTTTCCTTCTTACATCTTTCATGTATACTAAAATACCTGTAATTACACTGAAAAACAAATACAGTGATAATTTTATGAACAGTATAAGATGCATGTTAGCCAAGAATGGAAGATTTCTATCAAAAAGTTTTCATATTCAAATTCTGTACCCAAACTTTAAGTGTACCTTTTTCCTTAATATTTCTATACACTGTGAATTCACTTAATTTTGTAGGCATGGAATTTTGTGGTTTTGTCACAAAACACATCTTCATGGGTTCTTAAATTTGTTGACTGTGGGCTGTTTATTCCAAAAGGTAAAATCAAATCAAAAGATCAATATTGCCATAGATTCTATGGAGTGAAATGGAAATAGGCTTAAAGTAACTTCACAAAGTCTATGTAAACTTTATTGTAATCATTTGACAGGTTATCACACAAAAACATTAAATCTTACCTGTAAACACATAAACAATTTGACTGGAACCTCCATGATTGCCCCCATTTTATCTTCCATTTGTTCTTTCTTCTCTAGTGCTGAGAAATATCTCTCTTCTTGTTCAGATTCAGCCTTAATTAAAAATCATAGCATTTATATTGTCATGTATTTTTTAAACAAGATGGACCACATTTGGTTTTATAGTTTGTCGTATCTCTTGTGCTGTTGTACTAGGTTCAAATGAATTAATTGGGTTATAAATGGAAACCTGAGCTGAGCTAAACTCCGACACACAGCTTGAAGCTTGTTCTAACACACAGCACCTGAATCACCAAGAGAGTAGTCGAAACACAGCAATGTTGTTGAACCAGGTATAATTGAAAAGGAATACCACCCAACGCTCTGATTTAGCTCAATGACTTTAAAAGATTCAATGTCCCATAGCAGTGTTTCACACTCAGAACCTACACCGCTCAATGACTAGTGGTTTTTAGCAATACAAAACTTACTGGAAGTAGCAGAGACAGACTTTTATATGTTAAATTATACTTTATCACATTATATTCTTCCAGTTTTAAATTTATTTATCAAAGCATTGGCACTTGTTTCAAACAGCAAGATATGCCATATTTACATAATACAAAAAGAGAGATGTCATATAACTGGATTTCGATGGGTTAAGATATTACAATTTTTAACATTAGACACAAGTCTAAGGTAATTAAATAATCATACTTCTGCCAGAGCTCCTTTGTGTTTTGATTTTTTCTTCAATAATTGTTGTACATCAGGTGAGTTTAGATCTAGATCTCCCAGCAGCTTGGATTTCTTTTGTGGAGGCTCTTTACTACTAGAGTCCCCAGTGTTATCATCCTCTGTTAATATAAAGAGAATATAAAGAAACCAGCCTTAAAATGATCTTTGTTTTCCCTCCCAAACCCATCCCAGTCTGGGTAGGATAAGTAAAGTAGGTAATTTTTTTTATCCAAAATATTTTTGTTGATGAACCAAAGACTTTTTATCAGACATACGGTGTGTTTTTTACAAGTGTTTTTTTTGTAAAGCCCTTTTTTTTGGTAATAAATCATCATTTTATTTTTGGTAATAAAACAAACAATATTTATTTTAAGCCTAAATGCAGCAATATATTTCATATGCAATGTTACAAAGCGACACATACCCATGTCTTCAGCAACTCGTTTTCTAATCTTTTCTCTTGCCTCAGGTGATGTAATTTTCTTCCTCACAGAATTTGGATCTTCTTTGTTTACCCCACCTTTAGATTTAATCTTTGCAATGGCCAATCGCTGCAATGCAAGAAAAAAAAGCATCATTTATTTTTCATTTTTATGTCTTCAATTAAGCTGACACAGACATATGCACATATAAAATACAAATAATGTTACTGTACTGCATAACTAACCATCTTTAATCAAATTAAAACCATTTAGGGGATAAAGATTTGAATCTCAAAGGTATAACATACAATTTTCTTGCAAGGAAAAAGGGCAATAAATCAGCCAATTTTTCTCAGGAAAATAAAACAAACCAGACACAGAATTTTTCTTGGCCTTGGGTGCATCAATACCTTTGCTAATTCTGCTGATGCTTTCCCTTTCCCTTTATTTATTGGTGCATCCAATGAAATCTCTTGTCCAAAGCCAATACCCTTGCCAAGTGTTGGCGTACTTGTCAACAATTCAACCTCCTTTTTCTTCTGCAGGAGTGTCTTCGAGTGTTGCTTTAGAAGATCTTTAGCAGAAGCAGATGGTACTATATCACCTTCATCTATTTTATTTACTGCAAATAACAAATGAAAACAGAAAGATATAATTCCTTTTGTCTCCAAACTGTAATTAACACAGAATTTCACACAATAAACAGCGATTTAAACAGAAAAAGTTTCATCTTCTTTTGAGAACTAACAGTAATGAAATAAACATTATGATACCAGTATACTGAGGCCAGATTGTACATCTGTGCAGTCTGACTAGACTATAAAGTTAGCTACAAAATCCTTGTATTTTGATACTGATGTAACTTATACTGCTAAAAACTGTTATAAAATGGAAAACATGGCATGTTTAGTTTTTCTAAGCTACAGCAGCAAGTTATAGCTTATGGTTCTGATAATTTTATCAATATTGTAATGGAATATATTATCTAGGGGATGAAGGATCTTCATCACCACCAAAGCTGAAAAGTTACAAAATCATCCTAATGACAAAGTAACATATTAAATGTAACTAAAACGAAAGATTTTTTTAAATATGGCTTCCAATGTAATCAGGCTATATGAATCAATATTATACCAAATTCAACTTAACTCTAGAAAAGGAGTAATCATACACAGCTTATAAACTGTGTAACATCAATATTTGTTTATCTAAATTATCTAAATTACCTGTTGGGTTTGCATCTTTCTTCACAAGATGTTTTACAAAGTTCATAGACCCAGCTGATGGAACAGACAAAAGTTGTAATCTGGAAAAAATATAATACATCATAAATACATGTATAATAATATAATCTTTTCCAAAGTTTAAGTTTTTATAGAAAGAGTTTTATTGAAATCAAGCCAAAAGTTTTTGTCCATTAACTTGGGTGGCCGTGATTCATTATGTTAAGAATTTTCACAATGATACTTTGACACAGTATATTTTGTAATAATTCAAGTGTGCTATATTGAAGAATTTTGGTAGATGCATTTAAATTTACTTCAATGTTTAAAACTATCCAAATGTTTTCTTTCCTAGTGAACATTTGATAAGACTGTGACATAACAGAAAAGATTTAGACTCGAAATAGCTATTAATTTTGGGCACATTTTACATTTCATAGATAGATAGATAGATAGATTTATTTCGGCATAAAGGTAAACATGTTACATGATAAACAAACACAATATAGATTAAAACAATTACAAATAAATAAATAAATGAATGAATACTATATAATGAAGTTGGGCCGTTGGAACTCGACAGCTTATTTAACTTATATAAGAGTAAACACACAAAATTAGAATATTATTTATAGGGCACTTATCATTTCATTCCAGATATTTGGTTTCTTGGGGATTCATTACCATATTGGGCCGGCGTCAGAGCGCAGTTTAGAAATACGCCCAATCTAAGTCTTCCAGACGGACATAGCATTGCTTGGTGGGGCATTCGAGGATTGGGATGGGAAGATTTCATTCATTGTGTCCAACTACCTGTGGTTTTTCGAACACCGCCAAAGGTTGTATTTTTTCATTTAGGCGGCAATGACCTTACTAAGCATTCATTACGCTTCATATTTAAAATGGTGCAGGAAAGCATCCAATATATTACATCCGCTTTTCCCGACTCCGAATTCGTCTGGGTCGATATTTTGCAGCGTATCGATTGGGGTGTTGGAAATGACGAAAAACGTCTTATAGAAAAGAAAAGAAAACGCGTAAACCAATTTGGGCGCAAAATAATTAGGCTAACAAAAAACCATCATTGTATACGTTTCGATATCGACGAAAGTACACCGGGATTTTTTAGGAGCGATGGCGTTCATCTATCCGACGTCGGCCTTGATATGTACATTGACACAATCCGGGAAACTTTATTGAAAATATTGTAATAAGAATTTTGGGGAAATAAATAATAATTTATTCTGTGGCGGAAAATTCTTTTTCTTAGGTGCGACCAGGAGTCACTTGCTACAATTTGCTAGTGTCTTTCATACAGGGAGATAAAAAATTCACATTGCATACCTATGGTCGTGGAATATTCCATAGTGGTTGTCTGTGGGTAGACTGCGATCTGTAGGATTCAAAATTACTTATTTGGTTTAAATGGGCCTTCAAGAACTGGCCAGATAGCTATGACTAGGCGTTCTTTGATGAGCTCTAATTTTGTTAGGCCGATCTTATGTTAAGCACTCTATAACTATGTTGCACTGGTGGTTATATCAGGTACGACGGAGTACCTTGCTTGCTGGTTATATTAGGTACGGCGGAGTACCTTGCTTGCTGGTTATATTGGGTACGGCGGAGTACCTTGGCTACTGGTTATATTAGGTACAGCGGAGTACCTTGGCTGCTGGTTATATTAGGTACGGCGGAGTACCATGTTTGCTGGTTATATTGGGTACGGCGGTGTACCTTCTTAGCATACTATATATATCGCCAGGCGGCGGCTATCATTACAAAATAATAGTGCAATAGGGGTAGGGATCTATTTGGGCGTACGGCATATCGCTCCTGGTCGCACCTTTTATCTCCTATAGTGGTAGTCTGTAGGTAGATCAATTTAATCTTCATTAGTGGTTGTCTGATGAAGATTCATCGCGCTGTCATGACCGATTCCGCCATTTTTCACAAACCAACTGAAAATACTTAATAATATGTTTTTATTGATGAAATGTCTGATGACGTGCCTCGTTACATAAATAGAATATAAACAGTTTGTTGTTTGTTTGTTTGTTAACTATAAACTACTGAGTCCTAGAATAATCAAGATTAATTCTCAATATTAATCTACTTTATTATGGCTCAGTGACATGTCCATAACCTATAAAGCATTTTAGTCTGGCCTTAAGTACACTCCCAAAATCTCGTGCCGGGAGAAGTAAGTCATTATGACGTAGCAAGTCCTATATAAAGGCGATCATTTCGGTATTCGCCCTCTTTTTCTCGACAAAGCAGTAAGCAAAAAACCCACCCACCGCACCCAGAAGTATCATGTTATCTGTTTTCATATCTTAGTATTTGATGTTTTATGAAATTGTTGAAGTCCAAATGGTGCTGCTTAGCTTTTATATTTCAGTATGTTTCTGGCTGTAACTGCGCCCGTACTGCTGACTTTAGGGAGGCACGCTAAACGTTAAATGGACGAATATACACAATGAACAGCCATGCCGGAGTTCCATAGCAGCATTCACCGGACTGATTGTACTAACGACTTGTGTAAAACTATCCTAGACAAGGATCAACAATGTTTACTATTTGTACATATGTGTTTATTAACAATATACGCCGGGATTCAAGAATGAACAAACAATTTGAACAAAGTGCAGCGCCCTTTGGTCGGAGAGTACTAACGACTTTGTTAATTATAATTGTGTAAAATCGAGCGTGTTAAAGCATCCTAGACAAGGATAGACAGTTTATTTCAATACATATGTGTTAAATTACAAACTTAAGTTGGAGACAGGCATATATATTAACAGTGGTTACAAAACAATAGTTTTCATACTTTATTTTATTGTTATGACAGCGGAAAATTCTTTTTCTTAGGTGCGACCAGGAGTCACTTGCTACAATTTGCTAGTGTCTTTCATACAGGGAGATAAAAAATTCACATTGCATACCTATGGTCGTGGAATATTCCATAGTGGTTGTCTGTGGGTAGACTGCGATCTGTAGGATTCAAAATTACTTATTTGGTTTAAATGGGCCTTCAAGAACTGGCCAGATAGCTATGACTAGGCGTTCTTTGATGAGCTCTTATTTTGTTAGGCCTATCTTATGTTAAGCACTGTATAACTATGTTGCACTGGTGGTTATATCAGGTACTGCGGAGTACCTTGCTTGCTGGTTATATTAGGTACGGCGGAGTACCTTGCTTGCTGGTTATATTGGGTACGGCGGAGTACCTTGGCTACTGGTTATATTAGGTACAGCGGAGTACCTTGGCTGCTGGTTATATTAGGTACGGCGGAGTACCATGTTTGCTGGTTATATTGGGTACGGCGGTGTACCTTCTTAGCATACTATATATATCGCCAGGCGGCGGCTATCATTACAAAATAATAGTGCAATAGGGGTAGGGATCTATTTGGGCGTACGGCATATCGCTCCTGGTCGCACCTTTTATCTCCTATAGTGGTAGTCTGTAGGTAGATCAATTTAATCTTCATTAGTGGTTGTCTGATGAAGATTCATCGCGCTGTCATGACCGATTCCGCCATTTTTCACAAACCAACTGAAAATACTTAATAATATGTTTTTATTGATGAAATGTCTGATGACGTGCCTCGTTACATAAATAGAATATAAACAGTTTGTTGTTTGTTTGTTTGTTAACTATAAACTACTGAGTCCTAGAATAATTACAAATAAATAAATAAATGAATGAATACTATATTATGTAAACCATGACATGTTCCCAAAACCAAGGATAACACAAAAAAGAGCAAGCTCTTATTTCCATTGTGGTCCTTAGCATTTGGTGGCATGACATAGAGAGGTATTTCATAAAAGAAAAAAAAAATATCACAAATTATAAGATAAATCACATTAATGAAGGATATCATTTAAAATCATCACAATTTAAGATGTAAGGTATTGTAAATAAAAAGTCATTATCACATTAAGAAACAAGAGCTGTCCGTAAGACAGCGCGCTCGACTTTTTTATTGCTTGCCAATAAAAAAAGTTTTTGCAGTAAAAGGCAATACAAGAATCTCTGTATTTTTAAAGTGAACTAGTTGTTTGATACCCTTGAATATTACAGCAATGTTTATATGACATAATTTATGGTAAAGTGAACAAGTGGATAGGAATGAATTTTTTTAGATTTTTTAAGTTTTTTAGTGCTTGCCTATAATACAAAACATTGACAGTTAAGGGCCATAATTCAAATAAAATCTTTGACAGAATTACCTTCTCCTGGACATGTTTGGGAATCATGATTGTAAACAAGTATTCCAATTTTCAAATTAATATCTCAAACAGTTCAGTCAAAAAGTGGACTGGTACTAAAAACTTAACCAAGATTCTAAGTCGATAAAAGGCCTTAATTTTTAAAACAAATCCTTGACAGAGTTACCTTCTCTTGCGTACAGATGGGGGTAATGATGTGAAATAGCATTAAAAGTTTCAAAGCAATATCTCAAAGGGTTAAGGCAATAAGTGGATTTTACCCATATTCAATGTATTTTCTAAGTCAAAAAGGGGCATAATTCTGTCAAAAACCTTGACAGAGTTATGTCCTCTTGTCTGTTGATGAAGGTCGTGATGGTAAACAAGTATGGTCAGTTTCAAAGCAATACCTCCAATGGTTTTGAAATAAAGTGAGGTGGTACAAAAAACTTAACCAAGCTCAATACACTTTCTAAGTCAAAAAAGGGCCATAATTCTGTCAAAAACCTTGACAGAGTTATGTACTCTTGTCTGTAGATGGAGGTTATGATGGTGAACAAGTATGGTAAGTTTCAAAGCCATACTTGTAATACTTCTGAAATAAAGTGGGGTGGTACGAAAAACTTAACCAAGGTGTGACGCCAACGCCGACGCCGACGCCGGGGCGAGTAGGATAGCTCCCCTTTTCATAGAAAAGTCGAGCTAATAAGTATGTGCATAGTAAGAAAGGATTACATTAAAAAAAAATATCACAGTTGTTATGAGTATGTAAGGAAAGAACATGCCATAGATTACACTATTCAAAAAAAGATAAAGTTTTTAAAGTCTTAATAAAAAATTTAAAACAAATATCAAAAAAATGAAACAGTAAACCTGAGCCGAAAAATAATTCACTAAAATAATGAAAACATAAAATTTTCTTGCAAGAAATTTTAAGAAAGACACTTAGATGCTACTTAAAAAGTGACTTTTGATGGCTACCTTAAAACGATGAAATTTGTTAATTTCAGTTATGCAGGTTGGACGACTGTTCCATAGTTTAGCACCAATAAAACTGAAAGACTTTGACCCGGAACCTTTAACCTTAGGAAGACAATACCCTCCTTTTTTGCTCAGTCTGGTGCAATAAGAATGCATAGATTCCTGAGAAACAAAATAATCACTTAAGTACTCTGGGGCCATTTGGTTTTTAACCTTAAAAACGTGACATAACATGATTTGTTCAACTCTTTTACAAACTGGTAACCAATTAAGGGATTTAAAATGGGAAGGGCCAATATGAACTCTGGAATCAAGGTTTAGAACAAATCTCATCATTTTATTTTGTGTTGTCTGTAATTTATTTTTCAAGACCTGAGTTAAACCATTAAACCAGACACAGCAGGCATAGTCAAAGTGGCACTGAATTAATGAATTGACAAGCAGTTTTTTGGTATGCTGTGTAAGGAAATCTTTCTTACGGTAAAGGAACTTTAACCTGGCGTTAAAGGCCTACTTGAGCACCAAGATGTAAAATAATTTAACACCTTTAACATATGCTTGAATGATAAAAATACAAGCTGTTTTAATTATCACTGAGTTAAGTCTCATCTGTGATAATTAGATGTGGGAAATGAACAAAAGCCCAATGGAACAATATTGTACAATATACAACATAAAAAATGTGATTTTAGCTTGTAAAGAGGCTGAAATGATGAAAATGTGGTCATGTAAATATCCTAAATAAAGCTGTAATTATGATGAAAATGTGGTCATGTAAATGGCCTATAGAGACTGTAATGATGAAAACGTGGTCATGTAAATAGCCTAAATAGGCTGTAATGATGAAAATGTTGTCATGTAAATAGCCTAAATAGGCTGTAATGATGAAAATGTGGTCATGTCAATAGCCTAAATAGGCTGTAATGATGAAAATGTGGTCATGTAAATAGCCTAAATAGGCTGTAATGATGAAAATGTGGTCATGTAAATAGCCTAAATAGGCTGTAATGATGAAAATGTTGTCATGTAAATAGCCTAAATAGGCTGTAATGATGAAATTGAGAACATGTAAATAGCCTAAATAGGCTGTAATGATGAAAATGTTGTCATGTAAATAGCCTAAATAGGCTGTAATGATGAAAATGTGGTCATGTCAATAGCCTAAATAGGCTGTAATGATGAAAATGTTGTCATGTAAATAGCCTAAATAGGCTGTAATGATGAAAATGTGGTCATGTCAATAGCCTAAATAGGCTGAAATGATGAAAATGTGGTCATGTAAATATCCTAAATAAAGCTGTAATTATGATGAAAATGTGGTCATGTAAATGGCCTATAGAGACTGTAATGATGAAAATGTTGTCATGTCAATAGCCTAAATAGGCTGTAATGATGAAAATGTTGTCATGTAAATAGCCTAAATAGGCTGTAATGATGAAAATGTTGTCATGTAAATAGCCTAAATAGGCTGTAATGATGAAAATGTTGTCATGTCAATAGCCTAAATAGGCTGTAATGATGAAAATGTTGTCATGTCAATAGCCTAAATAGGCTGTAATGATGAAAATGTTGTCATGTAAATAGCCTAAATAGGCTGTAATGATGAAAATGTTGTCATGTAAATAGCCTAAATAGGCTGTAATGATGAAAATGTTGTCATGTCAATAGCCTAAATAGGCTGTAATGATGAAAATGTGGTCATGTAAATAGCCTATAAAGGCTGTAATGATGAAAATGTGGTCATGTAAATAGCCTAAATAGGCTGTAATGATGAAATTGAGAACATGTAAATAGCCTAAATAGGCTGTAATGATGAAAATGTGGTCCTCCTTTAAATCAAACTTACAGATCTTTATCTTTTTGGCGTAATTTATCAATCTTCTTCTCATCATCAGGTTCAAGGTCATGAAGTGACAATGTTGTTATTTTCCCAGGAGCTTTCTTTGCTTCAAATGACTGTAATTTGTTCAAGGTCATTTTATCCTTTGATGATTTTGCCTGTGGTCTATTTAAATAATAATAAAATATTCATTTAATATTATCTTATACTGACCAGTGCCCATCACTCACTTTTCTATCAATAAAATTTTCATTTGATGGTGAAAGTTATTTAAATTTTGATTTTAAATCCCTGAAATGATACTAATGATGAGGACAACCACAAGAAAATGTTTTAAACAATTGTTTTTAAGGATACTCTACCTTAATAAATTAACTTTAAAACCTTAAAATATTCATCATTTAATTAAAGTATGTTTTAGCTAAATTGACCCACTGTTATAATCTTTTGACACAATGGCTATGATACATACAATACATTGTAAAGGAGATATTAACGGTTCTATATTAAATTAAAATATATATTATTCATGTTCAATATGATAGCTATAGAATGCAATGGTTTTTATTCCTATAATGTAGACATGTATTACAGAAATACTGTAGTTTCTATACCTCTGTGTAGTGTAAGTGTTTCCTCCATAGAAAAAACATCCAGATCCTGCGTTTTTATTTTTCTGTTGAGTGAAGGCTTTTGGTGTGATCCCAGTGCTGAAATTAATATAAAATACAATAAAAAATAGAAAATGTTATTTTAACAAAACCGCTACTAGGTCTTATAAGAAATATTCTTGCCTTTTTTTCATTAACAGTAACATATGTACAATGAACGTGATTTTGAAATTCAATTTCTGAGCTTATTTGAAATCATGGTAATTTTTTAACAATGCCATACACTTTCAATTGTTGTAGTTCAAATTGTCAGAAAACCTTGACTCAGGAAAACTTTGAAAGACTTATACATGATAAAACTTGTAATAAATCACTTGTTCAAAAGGTTACAATCATAAAAAATATGTAAATTATTTCTACTTAGTAATTCATAAGGTAAATCTTGTTAAAAAATTGCTTTACCATAAGCTAATCTTACTGACTACAACAGTTACAGAGTAAGTTAATGGCAAATATTCTGTAATATGTTTGTAACAGCTTACCTAGCTTGAAGTTCTGTACGTTTTGAGCTGGATTTTCTATATGCTGACTGTACATGGTATGTGCAGAATTCTCCTTGCATCCTATATAGAATTTGTAAAAAAGTTTAGCACAAAACTATATTTGTGTGAACTAATGATAAACTTTATATACTTCTCAATATGTCTGTATCTACATATCTGTTGGTTTTCAATTTAATGTCAATTCTTAACAAACTTTTATTACCATAAGTTCGTAACAACATTTTATTACCATACATAAAGGCAAACTGTTTTTTTTTCAAGTTTATCACTACATATCAATGATGGTAAACATTGACTTAACACTCTACAATTATTTCATTCTTTTAAAAAAAATGCATTTATTATCATTAGATGTTCAATCACATGGATATTCAATATTATTTAAATCTTTCAGGCAGTTCATATATTTTATGGTGTATGGCACAACACTGTTTAAAGTACTAGAGATGTATGTAGCCACTTAAGCCAGTAATTGTTCACAGAAAGAGCATCTACAACATATTGTTTAGTTAAAAATTTCAGCCATTTACCATGTAGATTTTGTAGACTGAACTGGCCCTGCTTTTAAAAATTAAAATAAATTAAAATACTAAAATAATTCAAGCACCTATCAATTAAGAATCTAATATTTGGCAGAGACTGAGAGTATACAAAATGTACATCCAAGTATGCTGGTGTGACTCTAAATTAGCAGCATACATCTGTCATAATCACCTGTTAGCATTCAAAAGTTTTTAATAAATTTATTGTTTATTGCAGAATTAAACATGTATGCATGGGTGCAAGTTAAAAATTTTGAAAAACCTGAACTATTTGTTTGGGGGCCAGGGGGCCGCAAGGGCCCCCGGTGGGTCCAGGGCAACGCCCGGCCAGGGGTCCAGGGGGCCGGAGGCCCCCGGAAGCTCCTGCATTATAGCACATTTGAAAGCCTAAAATGCAATTCCCTTGAATGATTACATGCCAGATAACATACATACTGTAGTATAGTATTTTCATTTAAATATTGCTCACATAATTATTTTCTTTTCTCTCTCTCTTTCTTAATGTATATAAACAAAAACATTTCAACACAAAAAGAAATGTGCATTCATATATTGTTTCCACTATTTAATATTGTGGTTCCAACAGTAAAGAGTGATAAAACAAACCAATATTTAAATAAATTGAAAATTGAGTTGATTTGTACCGAGTTTACGTTTTAATTAGGGCTGAGCTGACCCTGATTCCATACAAACAATAAATTGTTTTCAAAAAAGATAATTAAAACAAGCCTGGTTATGTTTCACAGTAAGTTTGTTTTTCATATGGTTCGGATCGTCTGCGTGCATTTAATTATTTTTTTCCCGCTGGATCCATACTTGATGGATTTTCTACATACAGTGCAGAAAGCTACGCCGGGAATGTCTGGCTTTTCCAGCCAGTTTCCGTAGTTATCCCCGTTTCGAAAAACATACAGACAACCATTCCCATCTCCATTTATTTTTCGAGGTCTTCTCGATATCTTTTGTATTAAATCCTTCGTGTAGAAACTTCATTTTGACTAACAAATTGTACATTACTTTCTGTTTACATATTACATGTAGCCGAATCGGTAACAAAGCCGCTTTTTCATTGGATGATTATAATTAGCGCGCCAATCTAAATCGTAATAAATTCACGGATAAAATTGCATGCCGGGATTAATAATACATGTTTTCGTAAATATCTCGTATATCTTCGGAAACTATCGGCAGTTTCCGCGAAAGTTTACTATTGACGCTTCGAGAACAACCGTGAGCATCCGTATGTTATATAGCGTTCTCGATTATGAACTTCTAATCGGTGGTACTTCTCAGTTTGAAAGAGTAGACCCGCACCATACCCCTCCAAATATCTAAACGGATTTACGCGATTCGCAAAAATGATCCCTCCGGCACGTGAAAAACCGGAACTTCCGGCACATGCCGGAAAACTTGCACCCATGTGTATGTTACAACTGAATCAAGTCATTTACTTGTTAATAAAAGATGAACAAGGGGAACCAGCCTTGGTTGTACCACGACATCGTCCAAGATCTTTTGAGATACCCATCATAAGAAGTTGTTGAGGATGATTTATTGTAATAGCTAATTCAGCCTGATTCTGTGAAAAAACCAAAACAATCAATAATAAAAAACACAAAAACACAGTAATACATACAACATGTTCAAGTACTAATATTTTGATACAATATTACATTTGTAGTTATAAAGATTTTTGACAGGTTATATGGCCTTATATAAACAGTTATTTGAAAATAGCCATCACCCATATATATACAGTCATATAACCTGTCAGGAATATTTATAACATATTTATAATACAGCCAACTTCCTTTTTTTAGAGAAAACTGTGAGATTTCTTCTGGCTGGTGGCTACCTATATATTTTTAAGTAAAGTTCTACCCAGTTTCTTTCAAATATGATGAAATCTCTTAGCATTGGAAAAAAAAGCATTTCCAAACCTTTTCAGCTTTATCCATGATAGATGGGTTGAGCAGACCAATGACCACACCTAGATCATTCTTCCAATGTTCCTTATATACATTCCCAAACAGGAAAAATGTAACAGTTTTATCACAGTTCTGTAAATCACTCAGCTTCCATATACAGTATGCTTTACCCTGCAAACATGTGATATATCAATTTACAGTACAGTAAAGTGAAAAGAATATACATGTATCAAGAATGTTGCTAATATTGTAATTTGGGGTTAATTCCAAGATATGGCAAATGTCATTCTGATTGCAGTTGTAACACTCTACCTTTTTTTCTTTTCTTTTTTTTTGCAACATCAGTTACATAAATTTAAATATACATACATAAAATAATGGTTTAACAAATAATAATATCATGTAATAAAATTTATGAAATAAATATATTATATAAGTTAAGACATTGGTTAAGGTTCCAAAATATCACAAATAAGATTATGACTATGTCAAGCAAGAAACTTAATAATTAAAAAAATTTAATACAATGACTTTGATAAAAGTGATCTATGGTTACAAAGGTTGTCTATTAAGCTTGAAAACTTATTTCCAATAGGGTCCTTTGAACCCTATGTAACAGCCTTGAATTCACCATTATCTCAATGTCACACACAGTTTCGATGAAAAGATTGCAAAACACAAACTCATTAGCTTTAGCAACTTTCTTGTAATAAATACTTCAAAAGCTATTTGAGCTGTGTCACAACAAAACCAACATAATGGGTTTGCAACCAGCATGGATCCAGACCAGCCTGTGCATCCGCGCAGTCTGATCAGGATCCATGCTGTTCGCTATCAGTTTATTTACTTGTTATAGGGTCTGTAAGCGAACAGCATGGATCCTGATCAGACTGCGCGGATGCGCAGGCTGGTCTGGATCCATGCTGGTCGCAAATGCATTATGTTGGTTTTGTCGTGACGCAGCTCATTTGCTCCTGTTTTTATTAAATCTGCTATAATGTAAGTAACTTACAGCAGCAGACTGTCGGGGCTCTGTCTTGTGAACAACAACTCCAAGAGTCACCCAGTTGTCCTTCTGTAAGTCTGTTCCCATTTTAGACACAAGTCTAGAAATTTTTACAAGATTACGGCCTTCCATCTTTCTTTTAAACACATCCATTGGTACTCTAGGATTTCTGATAGAAGTATTATGAAATTAATTTATAAAATTAAATAAGCTGAAATTTAACCAAAAATGTTGTTTCAATACTTTTATTATCTCTCAGCAATAGTAAATATAAATCACAACACTGTGAATATGTAGTTACTTCTAATCACATTGAAAAATATGACTTATAACCAATAAATACTTTAATGAAATCTAAATCTTGTCCATTTTTTTTTGTTTTGTTTTTTTGCCCGGCATTAAAGTTATATCAACAATTTTATGTCATGTGACAAATTTCCAGCTTTATTAGAAGAGGACAACCATGCCAAGCTGTACAATTTTGTCAATACTGAGAACTCATATTCCTTTCAAGAATTTAACTGGACAGGTTCAAATGATCTTTGACAGATAAGCATAATCACTTGAACAAAGATACTTAGACCAGCAACAGACTTAACTTTTTCATCGTACTAGCAACTTACATGATACGGATTCCGCAGAAGGGGTCCGTCACAGATTCACGCACATCCTCCTTTGTTATGGTAGATTTCTGCATGTACTCATCCTTCACCTTGTATTTACCACTGACAGTACCTGTAACTGGGTCAAGTGCTGGTTTCTGGGATACTTGCTGTATTGGATGAATTCTGAGCGGTTTTGAATTTGTTTCTAAAACATCAATTACATGTCTAGATTTTAACATTAATGATCTACGTAACTGATCAAGATAAAAATATCTAAAGAAATATATCTAAATTACATTCTTAGTAAAAAAAAAAAAAACCCTGTCAGATCTAACAGGTTGCAGTGATCAGTTAAATGATAATATTTCTTATTGATAAATATGTATTCCATGTATAAAATCACTTTGAAACCTTTTTTTTTGAAAATGTTTATATAACTATATCATGTCAGTATATCATAGTGTACTTCAAACTGCAAATCATATATTACTATGTGTTTTGTATCAAAAGTTGCCTGCAAATGCTATTGCGGCATGGCCAAGTGGTTAACATGTCAGACTGGTATTCTAATGATTGCTAGCTGCATTGGTTCAAACTCTGCTTATAGCTTCCTACACAATCAAACTAAAATAAATTCTGTATAAACCAAATGCTCTTCACTAAAACCTTTAACATTTTACCTGTCCACCTTGATATATTAGGTTTCTTAAGGACAGCAGGATCGTAGTTAGGCATATGAGCTTGCCGAGTCTTATGACCAGAATTTATCAACTTCTTCAATTCCTTCCCTTCTTTACTCAACTTGGATTTCTCTTCTGTTGACAAATAAAACATAAGTTAAAAGTATGAATTTTAAACCAATATGTATATCATTGAAGTGTACGAATCAATAATATGACATTCACAAATAAACATGTGCTTACGTGGGTTAGCAATATGATGGGGAAAAACAAAACATATCATAAGCTATTCTCAGTGCTTGATAATCAAACAATGTCTGGATGATGTAGGAATTAACAAAAAGGAAGATTTCATTACATAGTTTGATTCTTGGAATGAATACTGAAATTTAACCATTTTCCCCCCAAATTTGTGACAAAGGGCCATAATTCAGTCAAAATCTATACCAGAGTTATTTGCTTTGGACATAAACCTCAAATTATGATCAAAAGGACAAGTACAATGTATTCAGTCTCAAATGGATACCTTCAGAAGTTTTGATGATTCATATTGCAGACAAAACTAACCAAGAATTTTCAAAGTTCACCAAAGGCCATAATTCAGTCAAAATCAATGTCAGAGTTATGGGTCTTAGATATAGACCTCCATTTATGGTCATAAAGACATTTCTCAAGAGTCAAGGTGTTTAAAAGACTGATGTTGCATCAGGATTTTTTATTTTGCAAAGGGCCATAATTCAATCAAAATCCATGATAGAGTTATGAACCTTCTATTATTAAATATTTTTAATGTTTGACGAGATATGACTTTGTACAAGAAGTAACTTGAAACCTTTTAACCAAAATGTTACGCCGGCACCCAACTTACAGGAATAGTCTCACTAGTCTTCAAATAGGTGTCAAAAAAGTGTGAATTTCTATGAAGCAGACAAATGTGCACAATGTTTTAACTTTTTAAGTAGATACATTATCCTATATAACTTGTAAATATTTGAGAAAAATGCTAAAGTAAAGCACACTTGTTTGTTAATCAGGTACTATTCCATATTTTAAGTAGATACAATATCATTAACCCCTGGTCTAGAGTTTTAAACATAACAAGAGCTGTCGGTATAGGACAGCAAGGCTCAACTATTCTTAGTGCTTGATAGTAAAAAAGCCTTGATAATGTAAAAGTTTCTAAGTTAACAAAAGGGCATTTTTTTTCTTTAAATCCATGTTACAGTTATAGGCCTTGAAGAGAGTCCTATAATGCTCTCAAAGAAGAGTATAAAATTTCAACTTGTTTCAAAGCCAGATGTCAATAGAATATGAAAATATCTGAGGTGGTATACAAACTTAAATGTAAATTCTAAGTTGAACAAGCAAATTCGTTGAATTTATATCCCCCGCCGAGTACTGGTTATTATTAACACAACAACTGAAGACATAAGGCTTTATTTATATATTAATCATGGCATAAACTGTAATATTCTTTGAACTTGAAGCCTTGTACTGTCAAACAAGAAATTTTTTTAAGTTTTCACTATATACATATAAGGAAAATCTATGACCCCCTGGAGTGGGGCCAATTTTGACCCCAGGGCTAAAATTTGAACAAGTTTGGTAGAGGACCTATAGGTTATATCATATACCAAATATCAAAGCTCTAGGCCTTGTACTTTCAGACAAGATTTTTTAATTTTTGCATTTTTTGAAACTCCTTTTCTGGCCCTGTGACCTACTTATGCAACAGACCGGAACCATTTGATCAAACTTTGGCAGGGGACCACCCTAGGATCATTCCTGTAAAGTTTGGTTGCTGTGCAGTCATTTGTTTCTGAGGAGATGTTGTTTAAAGAAATTGCTGACGACGCACGACAACGGACGGTGGGGGATCACAATAGCTCACCTAGATGTAAAAACATCTTAATCTCCAGACTTTATTGCCATATTCAAGGCATCAAGAAGGGATCTCACAATTTTCAAATATTTTTAAATGTTATTGTAACAAATCATTTTAATTCTTCTTTAATAAAAACTAGAAATGTGTCCATAGGACACGGGTGCCCCCACCGCGCCACTGTTCTGTCAATCTTATGACTCTAGGTCAAATATTTTTTGAAAACTAAAAATCTTTTTACTAAGTAAAGGGCAAGAACTTTACAAATACTAAATTTCCCCAAAGAAACCCCCAAGTTAAAAATTTGAAAATTTTATTACTTTTTTTCCCCAAGGGGGAAAAATAACTTTTAAAAAAATTTAAAAAAAACCCACATGAAAATTTCCCAGGTTCTTTAGCTTCAAAGTGAGGTAAATTCATTTTTCCTGTAATTTAGTGATGTTGTTTATTTTTCCCTTTAAAGTTGGATCGATTCTAAAACCCCCAAAGGCCCCCAAAAAAAAAAAAAATAAAAAAAAAAAAAAAAGGTTTAAAAAAATTAAAGGGAAAAACCCCCCCCTTTTAAAAATCCAAACAAACCCGGAACATTTTTTAAATATGGGGCCCCCCTTTTTCCCCCATAAGGGGTTTCCCCCCCCCTTTTTTGTAAAATCCTTTTGGTTCCCCCCCCCCCCATTTTTTTTTCCCCCCGGGCTTTTCCCCTTTTTTTTCCGCCGGGTAACCCCCCCCCCAGGTGGCCCCCTCCCCCTCTGTTTCCCCCCCCTGGTTTCTGACTCTGGCCCCAAACCCTTTTTTTGGGTTTATGTCCCGCCCCTTGTTTCCCCTTTTTGTCGGGCCCCTCTCTCCCCCTTTATTCCCCCGAAAAATCCAGGTCCCCAAAACCCCCGGGGGGGTTTGCCCCCTTTTTTCCGTGGGGGTCCCTGCCTTGGGTTTTCCCTTTTTTTTGGCCCCCTCGCCCCTTGTTCCCCTTTTCCTGCCCGGGGAATCTTTTTCCCCCCCTTAAAAAATTCCCAAACCCCCAAAATTTCCCGGTTTTGCAAACCTCCCCTCCGGGACCTTCCGTAATTTAAACCTTTTGGGTAAAATTATTTTTTGGATTACTCGACAAAAGTTAAAAATTACAAAATTTTCTAAGTAAGGGGCAATAACTCAAAAATACTAAAATAAGAAAAAATCCAGGTCCCAAAAAACTAAAATTTGATCAACTTTCCTTGTAAATTTTCCCTGACTCTGGGTTTCAAATCCCTTTTTGATTTTTACATCCCAACACAATTGAAAATTAAAAAATTTTACTAAGTAAAGGGGGCAAAATCTAAAATACTAAAATATCCAAGGGGAAAATCCCAGGTCCACAATTTCACAGTGACCCAACTTCCCCAAAAATTTCTTTAAATTCCGCCATTGTTGGGGAAAACTACCCCGGGAAACCAAAAAAAATTTTTTCTAATTTTTCAAGGCAAAACTAAATCAAAAAATTTTCCAGACAAAATTCCCCAGGCACAATTCACATGTTGATAAATTTCCCATAATTTTCTTTGTTTCCCACCCATTAGTTGCAGAGAACTACCCGGGAAAAAAAAAATTCGGACGGAGGAGGGACGGACGGACAAAAGGGAAAGACGGAGGGAAAAACCCCAAAAAACTATTCCCCCGTTTTCCCATCGGGGGGGAAAACAAGGGGGCCCATGGGGCCCCTGGGGGTGCTCACCTGTAAAATGGGGCCCCCGGGGCGGGGGAAAGTTTAAACCCCCCAGGGCTTTTTTTTAAAACCAAATTGTAAAACCCCCATAAAAAAGGGGTTTAAATTTTTTAACATTAAGTTTTTCTACTCATTGGGTTTTTAAAAAAGATTTATAATTTAACTATACACATATTTTTTAAAAACAATGACACCCTGGGGGGGGGCCATTTTGACCCACCCCCTTTTATTTAAACCCAAATTTTTAAAGACATTTAACTAGAAAGATTTTTCATGTTAATTCAAAACTCTGGTTTTTTTGGGTTTTTTCAAAAGAATTTTTAAATTTTGGTAAAAATAAAAGGGAAAATAAATGCCCCCCGGGGCGGGGAAATTTTCCCCCAGGGTTTTTTTTAAAAAACTTGGGTAGATACTCACTAGAAGTGTTTTCATGCTTAATATCTAAACTCTAGCTATTTGGTTTTTCTCAAAAAGATTTTTTAAAGTTTGCTATACACATAAAAAGAAAATCCAATGACCCTCGGGGCGGGGCCATTTTGACCCCAGGGTTTTTATTTGCACAAACTTGTAGACATTCACTAAGAATGTTTCATGCTAAATATCTTAGCTCTTTGAGTTTTCTTAAAAGATTGTTTAGGTGTTTACTAATGCATATAGGGGAAATCATGACTCCCTGGGCGGTGCCAATTTTGACCCAAGGCTTTTATTTGTACAAACTTAGTAGACTATCACTAGAAGATGTTTTCATGCTAAATATCTTAGCTCTAGCTCTTTGTGTCTTCAAGAAGATTTTTTAAATTTTTATAAAATGCATATAGGGAAAATTCAATGACCCCCCTGGGGCGGGGCTTTTGACCCAGGGCTTTAATTTGAACAAAACTTGTGTAGCCTCACTAGTAAGATGTTTCTGCCAAATATTAAGCTCTAGCTCTTTGGGTTTTTTAAAAGAATATTTAAGTTTTTTCTTTGGTTGCCATGGCAACCGAGTCTGCATGAATTAAATTCTTTGAATAATTTTAAGGTGACCACCAAAGGAACATTCTGTGAAGTTTGGATGAAATGGCATTATGGTTTATGAGGAGATGGCATTTACAAAGTAAAAGTTTACGGAGACGTCGGAACGAAAGCGATCACCAAAAAAGCTCACCCTGTACTTTGTGACAGGTGAGCTAAAATTGCATTATCTGCCCAAATGCTTGATACAGTTTTACCTCTCCTCCTGTCTACAGGTTGGGTTATGATGGTGAACAGACTTAGTGTGCAAAGTTTCAAAGCCATATGTCAATGGACTTGAAATTTCGGGTATTTAAAAACTTTAACGTTAAGTGGATACGCCGACGCGGGACACTGGGGGGAATTTAAAATTTCCTATTTATTCTTTCGAATAGCCGAGCAAAAATTAAAAAAGAATAATCACCACTTCTTTTTTTTCTGTTTTTTTTTGGGGGAATTGCCATTTTTTCTTAGTAAACATTACGAGCCCCAAACAAAGGGTTTCTCCATCTTTCCCAGCAAAACCTAAGTTTCCTCATTTTACCGGCAAAAAACCACTTT